AAAAATTACTTTAGATATCTAAAATTACTCTAAAATTTCTTCAGTAAACTTTTAGCTTCTTTAAGTAAACTCTTAGATTTGAAAGATTATACTTTTAAAAACTTTAATTTCATTTAAAGTAAATTTTCCCAAGGGTACACTTGAAATAGAGGGGTTTTCGGGATCGCTGATTACGATTTTGATGTCAGTATTGTAAGATTCAATATGGCGGAACCAATATGGCTGATCATACATTCGAAAAATCAACAATCTTTTAGACTTTTTAAAGGTATAAAAGGGTTTTAGGTATCACTGACTACGAATTTCAGAACAGAAATTTTGAAATTCTAATTAATGCCTTTAATAATAGTCAATCAGAGTCTAGGGACTACAAGCAAATAAGTTAGCAACACCAATTTAAAATTAAATGGTTGTAACTTATATGTCTTGTGCATCACTGTGAGCAGTCAAATTTATAATAAGAATAAATTCAGTTTGATTTCAATTAAGTAACAACATCATGTTCGCTGTTGATTTTTTTAAACTATGATCCGCCATATTGGACCCATTTTGAATTTTACAATTCCGACCTCAAAATCGTATTGAGCGACTCTAAAATACTCGTCGATCGATGTCGAAACGATGTCGAGTCGAAATCGACACCGTCAAATTGATGTCGATTGACACCGAATTTAACAATTGATTGGAGGTCGATTCGACATCGTTTCGACGAATCATTTCTCACTGGGTCTGTATACCAAGTTTCAACAAATTTTCAGATCAACAAATAGTAGATTTGAATGTGCTGCCGGCACACAAGAGGTTAATTAATAGATTATACTACTGTACAAGTTGATTCCTAAGTAAGTGAAAGAAATGTAAGGAAATATTCCTTGACTTATTTTGCGAAAAGATGTCCTATTAATTAAATTTGGACGTTAAAAGCCTACTGTCTCATATTAGAATCCTATCTCATAATAGAGGACTTCCCTCTACTGTACTGTAATAGCAGGAAGGATTTTTATTGTATAAAAGTTGTTTACTGTATAGAAGCAACGAGCGCTCTACACTGAAAGAAAATTTCTGGTTGAATATGGACGAATCAGATAATTCCTTTAGGATTTACCAGAATTCCTTTAGGATTTACCAGAATTTCTGTAGGATTACAGGAATTCTGGTAAATCCTAAAGGAATTCTGGTAAATCCTAAAGGAATTATCTGATTCGTCCATATTCAACCAGAAATTTTTTTCAGTGTAGTAAACAACCTTTATACATTAGGTTCAGTATGATGATTATGAGGGTGCCTAATAATTTTGTCTAAGGCTGTATATACGTAGTTGAATGCGTTATACAGTTGGTTACGTTGTCTTGAAATAGAGTCTTATTTTTGTAATGCAATTACGCTTCTGGATGCACTTAAGCTGGCGCCAGAAAGAAGAAATCCGATAAGAACGTCGTTACGACGTCGCTTAATAAAACGTTATCGGAATAAAGCTCCAATCCCGCCGTACATCCCGTTGATTTATACCACGTGGATATACAACTATAGAATAACAATGTAATTGCGCTCGAATGTGTAGACATAATAATTATCAATAATACGCGCGGGACGTTTGTCCATCAAACATCCAGATGTTAAATATTTTGATTATACAAGTCGCACGTTGAATGTCACTTGGTAACACTTTAACGCAATTGCGCGTCAAGATGTTACGCAATATCATTACGAAATTAGCACATCCCACGCGGTTATTTCACAAAGTGTCATGTCTTAAGCATGTTAAAAAGTCTATTTTTGGACCGTTTGTTTTCTAGCCTAAAAACTTGAACGAGAACTACAATTCGCTCGGCAGCACATCTGTTTCCTCTGTGTTTGTGGTAACGAGAATTATTGCGCTTATTAATTAATGTTTTCCTGGCGACAATATCGTTGGCCCTACAATATATTATTCTGTCTCTCAAACCTGAAGGATTTCATATTCTAATCTCTGATAACGACCATAGCTCATCAGCAAACGCCAGGTATTTGGATTACATTGGATTAAGAGTTCGTGTTGTTTAAGCGTTTACAGAAATAGATTTTGACGTTTACGTTTGTATTTGAATCGTAGATTCTCTTCGGATAAACGTTGTCGCTCATCGTACAATACGACATTACTATGACTTGTAAATGAAAAAGTATGACCTTTTTATAAGCGGGGAATCTTATTTTTTAACATTTCTAATAACAATTGTATATTTTTTAACATTACACTCTAAAAATTGGCTCATCGTAAGTGTTTGAATTATAAATATTAAAACAGAGAAATGTTTGACTTATCAAACGCAATTAGAAAAGCGTTTCAATTTAAAACACTTGCACATAGAAGGGATAAAGTTATAATTGTCATTATTACGTAATTTTATCACGTACGATCGTAACAGCTTTACGAGCTCGCACATCGATGGCTGCGTTCAAGCTGTCGCTTCAAATGTTTCAAAGTATTCTTCTCCTTTCTCTCAGAACAGATAGAAGGAGAAGAGAAACACCTCGAAGCACTTGTAGCGGCGGCTTGTCCGCAACCAGTATTATACGGGCTATCTATATTGCAATAAATACGAGCGCGACATTCAAAGCGTATCTGCAATTAGTATCTAAAACACTTTTAACCAGCGCTTGATTGAACCAGGAAAATGTCGATCGAGTTCGTCACGCGATGTTACCTTGAAACTCGATTCGGCTGACCGAAGCGATAGAACGATCATATATTGTTCGCTCGATCGACATTGTCAGAATATTGACGATCGTACATACGGGTGTATTTGTGTCGCTGGCACAAATTATCTCGAAATTCTGTCCTCGCCTCGCGATGGATAAAAACGATTCACGCCCCGGCCACAGCTTTCCCTTTCATCGACAATCATTGAAGCGCCGCGTCTAACACACGCGCGGGATACCGCGATCGCATTTAACGGCACGGCGAACAATTCTAATGCAATTCGCAAAAACTCGTTAATGCGATGACGACTTGGATTTACCATAAATTATTGGCCAATCAGCGGTTTACAAGAAAAGGAAATGCGTGCGGGTCTGACAGTCGACAATCGTTTGCGAGATCGATCGCGCCTATCCGCGTTTCGCGCGTACTTGAAATTTCGTTCAACATACGAACAGATCGCAAGTGAATACGCGCGATTGCCGATCGATTCTCCGGCATGCGAGATGAGCTCCGGCGACTTGAAACGCGGACTAATTATGAATAATCTATCGACTCGTCATCTTTCACGAGCAGCCGCCCGCGACGGTCATCGCCAACAATTATCGCCTCGTTATAGGCTGACAACATAATGTCAAGGACGCAAGGCACAAAGTACATGCTTAATTGAAGAAGAGTCCGGACCAGTGACGCTTTAGAAATTCAAAGTAACATCGAAGCTCGCTGGGCACTGCCTAACGTGGCAAACATATCATTTAAAGTCAGCTGGCGGCAAAGATGTGTTACACGTACGCGCGCGTATTATCGTCGTCGGATGGCAGTTAAACGACCAAACGATAATTTATTTGATGTCAAATAATTACTGTGGGGTTCAGCGCACCCCATTTCTACTTCTGCGTTCATTGACACAGTTATCAGCCCCAGTCTCTTAAGGAATATAGCCATCCGCCGATTCCGCTGCGGAACAATGTGTCGTAAGAAGTTCGCGGAGGAGCAGCGCAGTGATGCTGACCGGTGACAGTGGTACCAAAATTTTTGTCGATGTTTTGAACACTCTAAAAATTGGTTCTTCGTAAGTGTTTGAATTATAAACGTTAAAGCAGAAAAATGTTTGACTTATCAAACACAATTAGAAAAGCGTTTGAATTTAAAGCACTTGCCCATAGAAGTGATTGACTTTCAAACATTGTTGTATCAAACATTGCAGATTGTAAAATTGTGTTGCTAAAATCGAACACGGGTCAAATTAAACAGATACGTACGTTTGATTTTTAAACAGAAAAATAAAGTACAATTTGTGTTTGATTGGTAGAAATTCAAACAGATTTGTATTTCGAACACTTACCGATTACACAATTATGAAACAAACGCTTGCAAACTTATAATGAAAACTTTTTTAAGACTGAAAGACTTAAAAAATTTTGACAAACATATACTGCTTTTTAGCAAAACATAACTCAACGCTTATTACAGCATTATTAAAAATGAAACATTTAATCTGCATAAAATATCAAACACCCACTAAAACCAAACATTAATCAAATGTTTAAAATTTTGCACACTAATAAACAGCTTGAGAACGGCGACAATAAAAATGTTTGATATTTCAAACACTTATTATTTCGAGTGAAGTAAGATGTGAAAAGTAATACGGAGATGTGCGTGCCACGTGCGAAAATTCGGGAGAAAATCCACGCTGTGGATTAATCCTGTCGGGGAATCTCGCAGACGACGGCCTCAATAGTTCTATCAGTTAACGATTCGAGATAAAAGAGGCGCATGCATTAGAATGCGAGATAATTCGGTTACGCAAACGCAAAAACTTTGGAAGACCCGCGTTATCGTGTGCGATTGCCAGCGATATCAAGACCTAGTAATGATGTGATGGATTTATGATAATGACAGCGCGATTCAACATAGAGATATCACGGTGTGCAGAGTTGTCGCGTTTATTTATGTCGCGACATTTGCTGCTATGAAAACGCGCGACACAATGGCAAAATGAGCGTTAAACGACGTAGGTAGACCGTGGCAACCGCGTTCTCGAAGTCGACGAAGTCACGCTGAAACATTCCGCGGGCGACGCACGAATCTCTGCAATTTGTAATAGATTGAAGACAATTTATAATTACAAGAAATCAAAATAAAGCCGATACCAATTAATAACTGTAAGATTAATTACACGGAGAGAATTTCCCCTTAAAATTTACCCAGAAAATCATGTTATCGTGGAACAACATTATGAAGAATTATGAGAGTTTATTGAAATTTTACCGTACATTTTACTAGTAAAATTACTCATAAAATTTTTCAAAATGCCACGTTGTCCTACGATTACATAATTACAAATTTTATGGGAAAATTCTCTCCGCGTAGCTTTATGAAATCTTTCTTGAAGTATATATTGATCGAGCGCGTTGTAACAAAAAATTATTCACTACAATACGTTTAAAATAATTATCAACTTCCAGTGATTGCGTGCTGTTATCTTATATTTTCGCGAAAACATGAATGCATTCTCGAAATCAACAGCCTCTCATTCGGTAACGATCTGTTTTCTCCGTAAATGGCAAAGTAATTTCGTAGTCTCGCAAAAAGATTTGATTCCTTTCTCTTTTTTATCCCATGAATTTCGATATCACGGAGATTGGCACCTCGGCGCGATCGTGGCGTAAAAAATGGGCGTTTATCAAAGTGAAATGTCAGTAATCCCGACAGATCTGTACATAAAGAAATACCACGATAATATGTGATATCGTCATGCTTCGATAGTCGCGCATACCTGCTATTATTCGAGTGTCGAAAATAACTGCTATCATCAATCAGCATCATCCGTAATATCCTCTCAAAACTACAGCGCCGAGTTCGCAAGTATAATCGGCACAGTGATATAGTAACATGTGACCGATAAGAAATCTGGTTTACTTCGCAAGTTGAAACCACAAGTGTTTTCCACTTTTGAATATAGCTTTTATCACTTGGAATATTATGTAAAAAATATAAAATACAAATTTAAAATAAAAAGCAACGCTGAAAGGCGATCAGTAATTAGCGCGAAAACGATCGTAACTCTACACTTTCGCACTCGGATTGATTAGATAATAATATTACCTAAATAATTGTAAAACTATCGAAATCGAAACTAAAAGCTGAATTCTTAAACAGAGAGAGCTGCAATCTTAAAGTGTAATAACTGGTCATTTTAATAATTTTGTGCCGAGCGTAAAGTATATTATCATAAACATATAATTATATTTTGCTTCGTGTCGTCATATTATAAACTGTCGACATCTTTCAGAGAAGGAAAAAATGTAATTCTAACGAAATCAATATCTAATTATATGATAATATATTTTTATTCATATCATTTACATTTAATTTGCGCAATCAATGATTCTTTACGATAAAACAGCGCCGAACACGAGTAACATCACGTTATTTCCCTTTTTAACCTTTCTAATCTCTACTTTAAAAACCACAGAGAGCACAGAAAATATAATAAGAAGCTAGATTATTTAGTTTAGAAAGAGAAATAGCAGTAGAAAACGATTACTTATTCTGTTAAGAAACAAACGAAATCACCGATAATAATCACGGCAATTACATTAGTGTGCGTAAGGTCATGTAGGCTTACTACTTTTAGGTTTACTTTAATAATGTAGACAACAAACTATTTATAAGCTCTTGATTATAGTCGCCAGTTATTGATAACGCAATCGCCTTGCGCAAAACTCTTTTTCCCGGACGGGCGTCACATCTCGCAGAGTGGAATTCACTGGCCTAAAGGAATCCACGCGGAAGAGGCTGGTCTAAAGGAATCCAACGCGCTGAGCGCAAATGATCGCGAGTGACTGTGTCGCGTGCAAGGGCAGCCGTGAATTTCGTTAAGTACTACAAAGTCTCTACTTGGAGGAATCGTCCAATCTCCTAGATTCAAGTTGGAGAACGGAAAACCAGTCGTTCTCCTCGGCTCGCCGGAGGCATTAAGCAGTGGAAGTTCGCGCAGCCGCTCTCCCACATTTCGCGATCGAGACCGATGTGCCGGCAGATTTGTCGATTACCAATACACAAGCCATCCGCTTGACATTCGTTTGGGATATTCTGTTGTGATCGAGTGTTGTTCATCGTGCGCTGCACAATTACGACCGAAAGCAAGGTATCGCTTTTTAATGTCGACAAAAAGCTTCGCCGCTTGAATCAAAATCTTTATTAATTTGTGCGTTCAGTGCACTATGCTTTTATTTTCAACTACAGTTCGATCCTAATTTATCCGAATATAGATATTCACGTCTCGTCAATTATTTGGATTGTCACGACAACCTATTTCTATTTCCCTTTTTTTAGAGCTACTTTAATGACATACATGTATGTATGTGTAACACATTTTCCACAAAAAGACTTGATGTTCTGACTTTCAAGTTATTTAATTGATTAAGCAATTGGATCAAAGTATAGTAAAAGCATAGACATCAGCATTTCGCTGCAACATACGTCACGTAAAAAGGTCAAATATAATTTGCAACGTGACTGATAGAGATAGAAAATTGCATTGCATGGACATAGGCGAACTAAATTCTTATAATCATTGTATGCAAATAATTATCGCAACTCACAGAGTTACTGAAACAGATACTTGGTTTATCTGTTTTAAAACAAGAGCACGTATTGAATTAACAAAATTATTTGCAATTGAATTAATGTTGTTAATATAACGTTATTATTTTCCGTGTAACAATTGCACACTTCGGATAAATAATGTATTACCTAATGCCTCCGACATAAGTAAAATTTTTAATTATTAGAAAAATTATTAACTTTAATAAAGCGATATATAATATATTTATAATAATTAATAACGACAATTAATAATAACAATTCAATTTAAAAAATAATGTACTGATTACATTATCTAAAAATTGTAACAAATATAAGAATATTTGTTCATTGTTGATTTATAATAATATTATCTTCGATAAATTTGCATGTCAAATCTATCATTTTCTATTTATTACAATTTGTAGAGACGTAATTTACAAAAACAACTTTGTGCGGCACTAACGCTTAAATGTCAAGTCAGACTGCCATCTTGTCGTGTCAGTTCAACAGAAATTATTATCTGCGTGTTTATTATTTATTTATTATTTAAATATGTCTGGCAAGAGTGCTATTTTATATATTACAGAAACCACTTCATTTATTTATCAAATCAACATTAATATAATAATTCTTGACGTGAGATTTTATTTATCCGTATACGTAATGCAAACCCGCAATCTTCTATTTTCGCAATTAACACGCTGAATAATTTATATCTGCAAATGTCCTTTCAGCATAATCGTATGCAACACCCAACGCGAGGACAATCAGCGATTTAAATAGCCGCGACACCCGACAAGATACCCAGTTAAATTTTCCGTCCGCGATCCAAGGCGAGATGGCGAGCGTGGACAAGGATCTAGAGGAGCTCATGTCCCACCTGGGTGAATTCGGCAAATACCAGTTCCGACAGTACTGCCTTCACTTGCTCGCCGCTCTTACGGCTGGTGTGCACATGCTGACTCTATTGACAGTCGCGGCGGTGCCGGCGCATCACTGCGACATCCCGACAACGAATGTGTCGTCCGTCCTGACCAAGGAGCTGTTCGGTCACAACTGGGACAATGCCTCGGACGTGCTGGAACATCTCCCACGTCGTCTCGACAGCTGTCACTACCTGGATCGCGAAAACATCAGCCGGGAATGCGACTCGTGGACCTACGACACAACGTACTTCCAATCCTCGCGCGGCATGGAGTGGAACTTTGTTTGCTCGCGACGTTGGATGGGCGCCGCGGCGCAATCCTCTTACATGTTCGGCGTATTCGTGGGCGCGGTTACCCTCGGTAGCATGGCGGACAAGTACGGCAGAAAAATTATATTCTACGTGTCCGCAGTGGCACAGCTGGTGCTCGGAGTACTGGTCGCCCTGGTGGACAACTATTACGTCTTTCTGGCGATCCGTTTCTTGTACGGGATCTTTGGCTCCGCCGGCGCGTACATCACCGGATTCGTGCTGACGATGGAGCTGGTGGGTCCGTCCAAGCGGACGGCGTGCGGCGTGCTGTTCCAATTGGCCTTCGCCACGGGTTTCATGCTGGTGGCTGTGTGGGGCGCCGTGCTCAAGGATCGTATGTGGCTGCAGATTGTGTACGGTATGCACAGCGCGATCTTACTCGGCCACTGGTGGCTGATGGACGAGTCACCCAGGTGGCTGTGGGCGCACGGTCGCGCCGCCGAGGCGATCGTCATCGTGCAGAGGGGTTTAAAGGTGAACGGCAGCAACGTCCAAGTTGACGCCGCCAAGCTGATCAGCAGAGCGAAGGTGCAGCAGGAGACCAAGGAGGACAAGTCACACGGCGCGCTGGATCTCTTCAGGACGCCGAATCTACGCAAGAAAAGTCTAAATATATGCCTCAACTGGTTCGCCAACTCGATCGCTTATTACGGATTGGCGCTCAATATGGGCAATCTTGTCGGCAATCCGTTTATCATGCTGTTCCTCAGTGGTGTGCTGGAAATACCCGCGTACATCTTGATAATATTCACCATGGATCGTACCGGCAGGAGATGTCTGATCAGCACGTTCCTGATAATAGGCGGCATGTGCTGCATCTGCGCCGCCGTTATTACCGGCACCACCGGCAACCTGGTGGCCGTCGCCACGGTCACGATAGTGCTCATAGGCAAGGGCTGTATCTCCGGCTCGTTTGCCGTCGTATACAACTACACGGCCGAACTGTTCCCCACCGTGGTAAGGAACACGGCGCTCGGTATCGGCTCCATGTGCGCGCGTCTCAGCGGCGCTCTCACGCCTATGATCTTCCTGCTGGACTCGCTGGACCCGCGAGTGCCGGCCGCACTCTTCGGCTTCGTCGCCCTGGTGGCGGGCTTCCTGGCGCTCTACCTGCCGGAGACGGTGAACCAACCGATGCCGGAGTCTATCGAGGACGGTGAAAACTTCGGCAAGGGCGACACTTGCTTCACCACCTGCTTAGGCGGCGGCGCGAAAGCTGCCGCGAACGATCGTGATGTCTCAATGGACAAGATACACGAGAAGGACGAGAAGGAGAAATTGAATGATATATAAATCGGATTTTGTCCTAGGAAATTCGCTAAGTGCCTTCAATTAGTACTTACAGCTACAATACCCCAAGATGAAAATGGACATGTCTTGGTCTCGACATCGTGAGACGGTCGTGCTGTATAGATTCGCCGGTATATCAGAGATATTTGTTCAAGAATACTTATATTTAGAAGCCAGCCTAGCTAAATAATACGTGCAACTAATCGTTGAAAAAAAGAAGATATTTAGAAATAATTTATATATTAAAACAAAGGAAGAAAGAGAGTCGTTTCTTAGAATTGCGTATACCGTATACAAGGAAGAAATTTTATACAATATTACATTTAATTCTCTATTCGTTGGGAAAAGATAAAAATTTCGTGTATTTAAAAATTTTGATAACAATATATGTATGTATATACACAATAATTTTTTGACATGCAAATTATATGCGAAGGCAGTTTCTATTTTATAAAAGTATAAATATAATCACATGGTGTCTGACGCAAGAGTATCCCTACGACAAATAATGGCATAGATTGGGTCAGACTAAGAAGAAAAGTCATGTTCCATTTTACAAAATTCGCAATAGTTATCGAATAATTTATTGAAACGTCTGAGCGAATGAGCATGTAGAGATCGGGCTCAGGAGGCGTGTCAAATATTTGTATACCAGATCTAGCAACGGTAAGCGAGAGGTGGAGCAACGCGCGGCATACTCGTAAAAAACAGCGCACGATGTGTTCCCAGTGAGGAGTGAATGATCAAAGAGATATCGATTTGATGTCAAAATGACGAGATCAATTTGAAATAAATTTTTACATCGATTTCGTCATCTGGTGGTCACAGTTTTGATCTTTTATCGATATCGATATTTTGCCCATAACGATAATTTTCCGATTACTCTACTAGGCTTTTAATAAAAATTTTGTTATATTCACAGGATTTTAAATATTTATCAGGCGTCATCTGCATTTTACAACGCTGTGATCAGATGATCAAATTGATGTAAAAATTGATTTCAGATTGATCTTATCATTTTAACATAAAACTAATAATTTTTTAATTATTTAAATGATTCAACTTTTACATCAATTTGATCATCTGGTCACAGAGTTGTAAAATGCAGGTGACGCCTGATAAATGTTTAAAACCCTTTAAATATGAAATATAATAAAATTTATATTAAAAGCCTAGTAGAGTAATCGGAAAATTGTCATTATGGGCGAAATATCGATATCGATAAAAGATCAAAACTGTGACCAGATAATCAAATTAATGTAAAAATTGATGTCAGATTGATCTCATCATTTTGACATCAAACATTTGTTACAAACATATCAAAATATAAAAAAATATTGACGTACTGCATCCGTGTCGATAAAATCGTATCAGATTGACATCAAATCGATATTTTTTTGATCATTCACTCCTCACTGAGTTTATGTCCCATGTCGCTCACTGCTCGCGCTCGCCCCTCACATGCCTTCCGAGCCCACCCTACCGCTTTCCACGCGCTCATTCGCTCAGACGTTTCAATAAATTATTGGATAACTATTGCGAATTTTGTAAAATGGCACATGACTTTTCTTCTTAGTTTGACCCAAACTACCGCTATTTTTCGTAAAGGTACTCTTGCATCAGATACCCTGTATAGTGGCGCTATTTATATAGCAATAGTCCTCCGCAATGAAGTGACTTCAATTTTTATAAAACAGTACGCACATATAGGAAACATTCCACAGATGCCTTCGAAACTTAGGGAATAAACTTGTTGAATCGCAGGACGATCATGTAGTTAGTAAAAATATTCAAATATAACCACTTTTACAGAAGTATAGATTTACCTGATGTGACTACTTGCCCACGTACAATCTTTCTGTGTATGACAGAATCGCGTTTTCCCTATATAATACATGAATACGCGGTGATATCAAGATTTCAATTTTACGAGTAGGCAATTTCTGCGGTAGAGGTGATTAAAGGCACCCTGTTCCCACTTGCCATAAAATCCTTCCTGTAAGACGCTGAAATAATCTAAGAGAGAGGGAGGGAGGGTCAACGAGGGAATAAATTTGTTGACATCCGACTTATCTCGCTACTTTCGGCGAGATGAACTGGCCGGGAGAAGTTGGAGGGTTATGCGAGATAACGGGAAGGACGCGGGGCGCTTTGGAGCGCACTGTGATCCTAATGGCGAGGATGCAATTCAGAGAGGATCTTCCGGTAGGACGCGGGAGATTCTCCGTTCTGATGAAACCGCCGACTCACTCTTCTCTTCCTAGCTAATGGAAAAACTTTGTCGTCTGGCCCAACGCTTTTCCAATCATAAAGTTTGAAAAATGATCACGTCGGTTATCCGCGGATTTTTTTCGCCGGGATAACGATAGAATAACGGCGGATAGGGCGGGATCCTATCTCCCTCGAAAATTTCGTAAGGACATTTTTCGCCGGGCGGTTTCGAATCACTACAAAAGGACCACGTGATCCTTGCTCGGTTTATTTCTCAAACGGTGCCGTATCATACAATTTCATTATAAAATTCGTCTCGCACGAAAGTTTAAAATCTCCCTTTGCTATTTTCTTTAGGCATTGTCACGCCCGTTAGACCGCGAGAGCGCCTGGAGACGAGAAGCGTCTCCGGGCCAACGGAAGCGGCTGAACAAGATTATCGATTTTGTGTTTTTGAGTTGTTGTTCCGACTTCTGTGCGGAACGGTTCTGGAATCAAAAGATTACGCGGTCCCCTTGATTGTAAAGTGTCATCATTTACGCGCGGTCCCGCGAGTGAGTGAGTGCGCCGCGAGCTAAGCGGGCTCCCATTTCCCCTTTGCAATCCGCGGCGCGCGTGACAGTATCTTCAACGACGTCACTTGGACAAGACGATATTATGTTACTTGGAAGCTCGCCGAGTTAGCGGATATTAAATTGTATTAATAAGACGCGAATTAATTTTGATGTCACTCGGTCCGCGTCTTAATTGCTTATTAATAAATTAAAAGCCAACTGGCTCACAAAATGACGAGAATAACAATTAAACGTAGTACATTTATCTTCTTTAAATCCCGTGCTAAAGCGTGCCGCGCGTCACGGCTAAGCAATTACTAACGCAACGTATATAACGCGCTTCCCCGAAGTTGCTGATCCTCAATGTCACGTCGAGCTTCCGCGTTTCGCGAGATTCGCCGATGCATTTTGCAGATGCGCTCGCTATTACAGGAAGATTACTATCGCGCTGTAACTTTTGCCTCTGTAATTTATACGCACGCTCGATTTACGCGACGCAACGATGGACGAAATGCATGGCTGTCCGATGATTAGAAAATAATTATCGAGCAACCTGGCCGCAACTCCGACTTTAAACGCGATGATTCGAACTAATATAATTAATGGTACGTTTAACGCGATCGATATTAGGCGTCATCAATTACTTTTATGCGAAACTAGCGAGATATTGTAACGCTTCCGCGCCTGTGAATTCCCGAAATTCCACGCGTGCGTAACGTCGCCGGGATCAGAGATTAAACCGTACCACAGCTGCAAACCTAGATATCAGATAGTAATCTTGAAACTCTACCGATTAAATTAGAAAAATAAAAAACGAACGACTGGTGAATATCTTCAGAACCTTTCTGTCATTTGCCGGGCAAATCTCTCACATTTATGGAAGAAAATAGCCATTGTTAATAAATCTCAATATAACAGCAACAAGCGCGTAGCTTGCTGTGTTGGAAGAAAATATACACGTAGAAATATTATTAGGCGCTACGCTCCGTCCCGACTGTATAAGGTCTATGCTATTATTTATGTTATTCGCATAAAACAGTCGAGTTCACTTATTATTAAAAAAAAAATGGCACCGTGAAATGTACATGTTTGAAAAAGGCAAGAATGATTAACAAAGTGACGTGCCTCTGATCGGTCATTTTCCTATTGTAGATAAGCATTTAAGAGAGATCTGGAAGAACGAGGAAAAGCGTATCCGAGTCTTCATTTATTCGTTCGTCTAGATGCGCATTCGGAGGAATCTGGGAGAGCGCGTACCAGATAAACGTCCGAGAACACTTCGGGAAGTGGGACGTGCCCCACGGGAAAATGGGACAACTCCATGCAATTGCGTGAGCTCCGTCGAGCTCTAATTTATATATAAATTCGACCCTGATGATCGCACACTCACCTGCGTTATCGAGCGCGTGCGGGTCCATGCGCGAGGGTTGCTGGAGCCCGGGATGTATACGGGAACACACGGTGGCAGGGAGCGCGCGTCGCCTACTGAACCCTCGCTCTGTTCTCGCCCATTAAATCGCAGAAAACGTTGCACCAGCGCGCGCAACTCTGTGTCAAACACGGTGCGACCGCGTCCACAAATTCGATCTCCCGTAGGATTGGATCGCGGAAGTGCCGTCGTGCACCAGGTTCTCGTCCAAATGGAAGATCGCGAAGTACGAAACGGGAGAGCCTCGTGCAATCAATAACGATCGAATAGCTTCGAAGCTGTTAGTTCGAGTTAATTGAAGTTCTCCGATCCTCCCCCGGTCGCCCCGTACGTCGAGATTGACTTCTGCATAGCGATCTGCAATATTCACCCCCATAACTTTGTAGATAGTTTGGGTAGAATAGTTTGCGAGCAACCTTTCTCTGGAATTTTTACAACATTCTTTAGGCAATAAACAAGAGATAATTACTATACTAAATTAGATTAATCTCTTCTTGTGTCTACGTTATCTGAACTTATAATCGTCGAGATTAATCGCCCAATAAACAATTTTTCATGCCTAAGCATGTATAGATATATAACATTATACATATCTAAATTATATATCAAATGTATCCCTGCATATTTTTACATTGTGTATTTCTATATAAGTCTTTATAATTCTATAAATTTATATGAAATAATTGTTAGAGAAAAATTTGCTCATTTATAGCTATATCTAATTATGTATATAGTTATATATAATTAGATTTAAAATTTGTTTTATATAAAATTATATAGAATTACATAGAATTATAAAGACTTATATAGAAATACACAATGTAAAAACGTGTATGGATATGTTTTATACATAATATATTACACACGTAAAAGTGTTTGATTTTCTGAATAACTGAAATTTTATGCAGATTGAATGTTTTATTTTTAATAATGCTATAACAAGCATTGAGTTACGTTGTGCAAAAAAAACAGTATATATTTGTCTACATTTTTTAAGTCTTTCAGTCTTAAAAAAGTTTTTAATAAGTTTGTACGTGTTTGTTTTATAAGTGTGTAATTAGAAAGTGTTTGCAATACAAATCTGTTTGAATTTCTAATAAACAAACACAAATTATGCTTCATTTGTCTATTTAAAAATCAAACGTATATATCTGTTTCATTTGACTCGTGTTCGATTCTGGTAACACAATTTTACAAGATTCTGTAATATTTGATACAAAAGTGTTTGAAAGTTAATCACTTCTATGTGCAAGTGTTTTAAATTCAAGCGCTCTTCCATTTGTGTTTGATAAGTCAAACCATTTTTCTGTTTTAATGTTTATAATTCAAACACTTACGATGAACCAATTTTTAGAATGTAGCTTTCAAAAGTTTACATAACAATGAATACCTTTTTTAATTTATATACACTTTTTCAGATACAATAAAGACATATGTTAATTTCAAATTTTCATTACGTAGGCAATTTCCGGTGTGGAAGCGCAGTCATTTCACTTGAACGAATAGAAACTTTTTATTGCTTTCATATCTTTCCTCGCGACGATTCGTAACAGAGCCCTTTCCTCGTGTCGATTGAAAAGCAAGTCCGCGATCGATTTAATACGTACGAAGCGCGGATTTCGTTGGTTTATATCCTGCGTATATTTTACACTAAACTTTTACATCCCCAAGAGAGAAAGACTGATGTGTCATGAAAAAATAATGTCCGACCAGAATCAATAACCATCTTGATTCCCAACTAAATATCAAATTCTTCTTCTTCCTCGTGTATTAGGCTTAAAGCCTGTTTTAGCTAGTTCGTTCTGGTACTTTGGGCATTTTGGTTTTACTTCATCTTCGGTAGGTCGCCGAAGGAAACCTCCAACCTGAAGGGCTATACCCCTAAAGGGGTATGTGACAAGGTACTCCCGGTGGGTTGCCACTTCCCTCCGAGAAGTGGCATCCGAAAAAAAAACCAGCGGTGTCCGTGGCTGAATTTGAGCTCGGGTCTTTTCGTTTATTTATTTACTAAGCAGCGCACATTTCTCTGCGCCACGCTTGCCACGTAAATATATCGAATTAACTGAATAAAATATGTTAACTACCAATACAATGTTAAATCTTTCAAAAAATGAGATCGAGCCCGACAGAAGAAGAACGTTATTTGTGTCATTTATATGAAACCGGTCAAGTTCATTTACTATTCTCACGTATTAGGTAAGAACGAAACCAACAATAATATGCGAAACTTGACGTGTGAACACCGCAAGTAAATATAGATGCGGTATTTTCGGCCCTCGATCTTTTGCTTTTACTTTTTTATTACTTCTCAGTCTGTACATGGTATTGAAGGCGTATGATATTCGCGCGTTATTTTGCATATCATGATGAATTCTCTCACAAGGAGGTGGTCACGATTTAATTATCGCCGCTAGACTTTAATTAAATTGATACCATCTTCGGACGACCGTAAAACAGTTGGACGTGTCCTAATTGCGAATTCCCGGTGACTTATTTACAAGCAGTGGGGATAAAACACATAACGTCGTACAAGTCGATCTAATTAGAAGAGATTTACGAATTTTTATTTCTTACTGCGCGGAGACAGAATGTCTCGGATAGCGGTAAAATGGAGACCAGGGATAATTGATTAAACAACTTTTTTGTATTGGAAAAAGTTTAAAACGCATCTTATTCCTTCTCCTAATTGAAAGTAACGTCTCCGTTTCTGTATGAAAACTGCAGCAACTAAAAGATGTAAGTCCAATAATACATTTCTGCATTTAATCAAACGTTAATATAATTTCGAAGTTTGCCAATAAAGAATCTTTCCGTTTCATGCAAGATACGAAAGGTTTTCGTTATCGAGATTATTTTCCTTATAAAGCTAAAAATACTGTAAGTAAATTAAATACGGTTTTAAAAAATACCACGTTTAAAATTATAAAAACACAGATTAGAAATAATTGTCTTTAGAGAAATAAGAAATAAGCGTGTAAAACTGTTGACAATTCATGGAATTTAAAGGGTTGATTCGATAATATTTTCAATGGAATTGCTCTAACATTCACAATGTAGATATTTCTATGAAATATCTAAAATATTATAAATCCGTTCTATCATTTATATAGCGCGCTATACGCTAATTACGTTAATGCACACACGTTGAATTAATGAAAAATGCGGGACAGTTTCGTGCATGACATTTCTTTAAAGAGTATATCTGTAATATTCGTTATGTATTTGTAAATGAAACTCACACAGTCCCGCTCCTACGCCATGTAATTAATTGACATTGTTTTTACTTTTCCAACTACGAGTGCGATGCACGTGCATAAGTTTATAGTCGAAGTGCGGCATCTTCTAAAATTAAATAAAAAATAGAAGAGAGAATGGTGACGAACACATCGATGTATGCAATACTCATCAGTTTATTTTAACACTTTGATAAAATATATATTGAATATTTATCTACATATACACAAATAATCCCAGAGGTCTCGATCTTAAAATTTCAACGAAATTCACGAGCTAAGCTAAAAATCAGTACTCCCTTACAAAAAACTAATGAAATAATTATATATATATATATGTATATACCTGAACATTACTGATGTACAGTAATTATCTAGCAACTATTTCGTTGGTTTTCCGTAGGGGCTTTCTTAGGAAAAATTAATTTTCTTCCTTACAGACAATTTTCAACAATCATCTCTTGCCTTAACGTTCTGACGCTCGGTATTGAAAGAGGAAAAGTTAATTCATTTACCAATTAACACTGGTAAATTAATTAATTTTGCGAAAACAAAGCCCAATATTTGGGTTTCATTAGTCGCGGCACATGAATTTCATTCACGAGAATACCCCTATTTTAAATCTTATTTATACATTTGAGCCAAAAGATGTGTAACGTAGAAGTTGGGCTGAAAATCGTGTCATTGAGGAAATCGTTGGAAAGATCGGGACCTCGGGAATACCTCGCGCACGAATGTGCACGTACACGTCGCTCTCTTTCCGACGTCGCATTAATACCTAATGGTGGATACAGTCGTAACGGTAACTTGGCGCAAATTCGAATACCTCTGGTTACCCAATCACTCGGGAGGATTTGTACTCTGGTAATACAAGAATGTACATTCGCCGCTCGTCTGAGTCTGTCGAGCTTCGATCAAGCTGTACAACGCGGCACGCGGCGATCGATTCGGATCGGTAATAATTATAATTTCTTCGCGTTCTAACTTCTTCATCGTAGCGCCAGAATTACAACGGCTCCAATCACCGCTCTTCTGCGCAGAGAACGACTATAAGCGCGACATCATAAAATAATACAACGCGCGACGTGCTTAATGACGAGCTACATCGACTATGGCATGTCCACTTTACTAGGTAATTAATGGAATGAATATAACGCGCACTCGGCAGCATCAGCATACTTGCTAAATCACAAGCGTTTTTTTTTCTTATACCTACTCTCCGCCTCCGTTGAAATAATACCGCGATCATGGCCGTTTAACGTTGGACGAGCAGAATTAGCAGACAGCTCGAATCGCGAATCTTATCTTGAAATGAAATAATTTACTTCGTACCAATTGAATTCGTTTTGCTAATAATAAGCGCAGATGCTGCGCTTCCTCTCCTCAGAGTGTATTAAAGTGTTAAACTGTAAGTAATTTAAAAGAATTATATAAGGAGATCAAAATTAGCAAAAATTTGTACCTGCGATAAAATTTAGAGCCGACTTTGCATGCAAATAAAATTTTGTATTTAGATTTATTCAAATCCAGCGAAATGAATAAAAATCTAAAAGTGAATATCTCTAACTGCAAGACAAACTTGTGCAATGTGCACTGATTTCTCGGCATTGTTGTCCACGTGTAAAAAAATATTGAGAAAACGTATGTTTCTTTAAAACTCTTATCACGCGCGTATTCGGCCAATGTTTATAGACACGTGATCGTTGGCTACAATTGTTGAAGAAGGCACATTGTCAGACATTTAAAACAATCCATGACAATTTGGTCTTTCTTGTACTTCCCTAGGCAACAAGACAAGGCCTCGCGTATATGAAAATATTTAAAATGAAGAAACTTTCGGACATAATATCCAATAATTATATATCTAACAATTATTGCTGTGAAGACTAGCGACGGCATCTATTCCTCGGCATCCTCGGCGTCTAGGATACTCTTGAAGTAAAATGGCTGGAAGGGCTGTCCTAAGCCCTCGTAGAATTTCGTCATAAACTCGACCCTAAAAAGAAAAATTAAGTAGACAAGCACTTTGTGGTCAGTAAATAGATCGGACGGAAAAGCCGGAGCTCTCGGAACACTTTATTATAAAAGTGCAAGCTATCCGGAACAGCCTAGTACACCGTACGTACCAATGCAATCGAAGCGTATGAAGAAACGCCGAGAGGCCCTCCATCAAGACGAGAATGACAACGGTAAAGAAGGCCCAGACCGCGAAAACGGCGAACAGAATAACGCTATAGACATACTGATCCTCCTCGGCGCCTAAGCCTATCCGCAACACTCTGTTCCAGAGCACCTCTGACAGTTGAGAGTGGGCCAACGACAGAGCCCAAAGACGCAAGTACGAAGCAGTATGAGAAACGGTAGACAGAACGTATTCTATGGTATGGATGATCTGATGGATCATCAGTTCGCTGAAGCTATCGTCGTCGTGGCCGTGAGCATCCGCCGCCGTGTCCTTGCTGGTCCCTGCGCCCGACAGGTCTTGGGTCTGCAGCTCGATGTCCGGGGACGCACTCCCGTTGCTCTGGACAAACAACGCATATATCAGCGAATACTGCGAACGTTTCATTCGTATTTGCGATTAAATACGGAACGCCAGCTCTCCCATTTAGTTTAATTTACATACAGGGTGTTAATGAATACATGTAACAAACTTCTAGGGCATGTAAGGGGTTCAAAGTAGACCAAATTTTAATAAGGAATAAATTTTAATTTTTCTTAATTAGAATTTGCCGGATGGATCGTTTAATAATTTCCTACTTTGGTTAATTATTCACTGGCGACAACAAGTCCTTATTCTTATCATTGCTAATTTTTATAAGTAAAGCCAAGTCAGGTGCAGTCAAGATGCAGAGTTTTAGATCAGGTAACTTGGGATTAAATGTCCTGATTGGCTCTCGTAAGCAATCCAGTAGGAAAACTATGTATCGTGTGCCGTTGGCTTAAGTAATTAATAGCAGAGCAGAACAATGAGTTACTTACATGGTAAATCTTTCCTGGCTTTAGTCTCTGTGTAATTAAAATATATAGTGGCTTTCCGAAAAGCATCACCGGAACGCACGCGAGGGCAGTGAAAAGCAGAACCCACTGCAAAATTTCCTGTCCGTCGAACATATACTCGGAACAATCCTTCGGTACAACGGCATGTTTGAAAAGCATCATGTTAATAAACGTAATTAGCACCGAAGGTGCGCAACCAGCTTTTCGCCCTGGGTCTGCATTGCAAAGCATCGCATCACATTAGAAATATTTGTGCGTGTATGGTATATATAGCGATCACTTTTTTGAAAATAATTTGATATCTACCTAACGGTGAAGCCTCGTACAAAATCCATTTAACAAACATCAGGACAGTCATGTAACAAAATAGTAATATAAGGAAGAGCAATTGTGGTAGAAATTCAAGGAACAAGCTGGAATATTTCTTGAAGTACCTGAAAAAGATCACAACGAGCGATGTAATACACAGCGAAAAATTTCGATCAGGTCTCCATTGGGAAGAATGAAAGTTTTATACCAGCACAAATTGGACAATTCTTTCTACCGAGAAATCTCTTAATAACTCACAGCTAACACTTAATCGCGTGGCAACAGGTGCACATAAAAAACTATTTCTTTCGATATCGTAATCTTTCAGAAACGCTACACAGAATACAGTTTAACGAACACTGCTCGATATTCCCATTCGTACATGTCTACACCTGCTTTTGACAATAGATTACATTTTTGCAATCGCTCTTCTTCTCCCATCGAGATACTTACATCATATTGACGACGTTCATGCAGACGCCGAAGATCATGTGCGCGACGCCAAGAATAATCGACAGTTTCATCTTGAACGAATTGTGAAACACAATTTTGTTCTGGGCGAAATTCCAAACCGGATCTACCCCCAAAGGATAGGGATACTGCAGGTAGCTCCTGTTCACGTCTGGCAACAACTCTAGCGTTTTGTTGAGTATCGTATCGTTAAATGTAAACTGGGCTCTCCAACTAGATCCGAATATGTTAACTGACTTTGCAAATATGTCGTTGTAGATAAAACCACTGTAGATGGAAAACAAACCCATGAGGAGGATGATGTAACGACCGCCGAAAAATAAATTTCCGATTTCGTTGTTTGACTTTTGCGCGCTGATCTTTTTCTCCATTAAAACCATAGCCAAAGCAAAAAGCGTCAGTATCAGTCCTAACAGAACAAGTCACGTATACTAATAACAATTATTTAACAAAAATATACATACGTCTCGCATAAATTTGTTTACCGTTCTCCTTGCCCGCTCGGAATTACTCACCATGGCCAGCGTCGCCGAACATAACGGCGAACAGAAAGGGAAATGTAATGATAGTGTACAGCGCCGGGTTAGCTTCGCGATACGATGCCACACCGTACGCGTCTATTAGATTTTGAAAGCCTCTCGTGAACTTGTTCGTTCTGTTAAACGTCGGAGGATTTTCATCCGAGTGGATCACGTTGAGGAAAGACGGTATGGAGCTGCCACACTGTCGCTAAAACATCCCACATTCCTTCGTTCAGTAATTCATGCCTCGTGCTTCGAGTTATTTCAACTGTTACCGGTCTTCTGAGAGGACAATACAAAAACTTTTTGCTTCGCAACCAACTAAATTATTCGACAAAATAATTTAACGTTGTTTTTCTGTGAGCGCAGCTGCTACGAAATAAATGATCCGAATAATACAAAATCAGTTAATATCAGTAAATCAGTTTTTCTCTCTTGGCCTAGCAAAAGTTCTATTTCTATTTAACGCGATATTGCTTTCAGCCGTTTATTGTAGTATTAACCATAGATATAGAACGAGAATAAACCGAGAGTATTCTCTTGTAAGCCATGAAGATCAGGTGGAAGAGGATAGACAATAGATACCGTGTCGCTTTCTCCCTTTATTCGTGTCTGCGCAGTGAGGTATGGACGTGGTATATAAAATGATATATAAAAATATAATGTATGAACATGTGTATTTACAAATTATCACATGCTCAATTGTCTCCCCGTTCTATTTTTGCACCCTCTCACTTTCTTCTCGTTAGAAAGAGAAAAGTGCACGGTATCTATTGTCAGTCTTTCTCTATTTAATCATCAGATTTCAGGCCTCGTGCTCGGTCTATTCTTATACTATGTCTATGGTATTAAGCATTTGTATTCCTTTATTTTTTAAACATACAAAACAATAGAAAGACTAAAATCTAAAATAAATTTATATTCATTATAAATTAATAGGATTTTTTTATAGACATGTACACTAACCGATCCTTCCGTGAGACAATTTTGTACAGTCCCAAGATCAGCAATAGGCATCCAGCACTCTCCGATGAGACACTTCTTCGAAACGTCCATGTTGAACAGATTCATCGTGTGATAAATAGCTTTCATCTTTCGCACCATGATACTCCAGTTCGGTAACTCCTTCGCTACGTTATGCAGAACACGGTTGCGATGATCTTGCGTTTGGTTTAGCACCTTAGCAAAAAGATCATCGAGATACAATAAAATTTTGCCTCTAGATTGGAACAATTTTATTCTCAATCAAATATCAAAATATCTTCTCAATTTAATTAGAATAAGATGACCAAATGCGGATCAACAATTTGATGAGTTGCTAGAGACACGTCGATGCCTTTTGCGATATCGACAATGTAGCATAAGGTTGTAAATACAGGGTGTACTAAAACCACCGGATATCCTCTTTTAATCATAAATTCTTTAGAAACTTTCAAGACAAAAATTCTAATACAAAAATGTCGAGGCTATAATAGTTTTTAAATAATAAGCGATTACATTTCACAAATGACAGGCCTGAGATTTCGCGCGCTCAGGTACGGCGACACGACAAGTGATTTAAAAACTATCATAGCCTCGACGTTTTTTTATTAGAATTTTCCTCTAGAAATTTTCTAAGGAATCTTTTATCGATTAAAAGGATATCCGGTGGTTTTAGTACACCCTGTGTATAAAAGAGCAAAACTTAAGTGAATTACTTTAAAATGTCGCTTATTAGCGACTTATCAAAATTTTGATCCGCATTTGGTATCTAATCCGAATTTGGTCATCTTACCCTACATGTTGTTATTAATTCAAATGTGCAAGGATCTAAAACTATTTAGAAGTAAAATTAATCCCACAAAACTTTTTTCATCCTTCGATAATCTCACCATTTTAAGGTCTTCTAGCCGCGTTCGCACACCTTTCAGCATTTCCTGACGTTCTGCATGGCTGGTCGGACACGGGTAAAGCGAGGCGTGAAAGCCAGTGCAAACCTTTTTAATACGACTCTTCAATTGTTCCCCTTGAAAAAACGCCACAAAGGCCGTTTTGTAGATTTCGTTGCCCTGAAAACATTCGCAAAAAAAATACGAATCAGCCGCATCGACGAATATGCATTCTCATTTTGCGACTCGTGTGTGAAAGCGAAGCTATTATTAAATTAACTTTTTAAAGTCCGTTAGTTTCGCTTTGACATTGCGTGATCCGCTTCTTCCGAGTGTACAGATAACCGACAGAGATTAACATAAATATAATAACCTAAGTAACGTTTTGTATTAAGATAAAAGTCGAATTATAGCTAACCGTAGCCGGATCCTCCAGTGGCTTATCAAGTTCGGTTTGCCGAAGAAAAACGTTCCCACGTGAGATACGCCAGAGCATTCTCTCAAAGGCTGGAACGCGTTCGCGATTTATTACCCCTCCGACGAATCTGTAAGAAATTAAATATCATTATAGCAACACGTTAGTGACTGCGTGGCTCAGCGGGTAGCGCTCGTATCTCGTAAGTGCGGGATCGCTGGTTATAACGTCGCGTTATCCAACAATACATTATTGCGTCATATAATTGCTGACAAACAGCGAACGTATCTTTTATTTGTCGTGCGCACTTTTAGTTGTGACGCTATAAAAATTCTTACATTATTCGAAAACAAATCATATAAAACGGAATTGCTCGAGGAGAAAATTGTTTATCTGAAACATCCACTTCGAAAATTCTTTTCTACACATATAAACCCAAATATAAGAAAACGAACTATCCATAATATTAATGAAATCGTATAAAAATTATATAGGTAGAGCAATGAATCAAGGGTAATTCTTCCGTTTGAAAGACTTTCTTAATAATTTCATTCTCATTGCGTTCAAAAGTTATTCAGAAAAATTGTACAACGAGAATGGTATTTGTTGTACTTTTTCGACCAAACTTATATTATCACAAATTAATTTCTCATATCATTCAATTGATAATTAAAATTATTCTTTAGATAAGTTATGTAATATAGCAGAAGCTTATTCTAGGGTAAATCCCGTTGGGATAAGCGTACAAAAGTAGCGAAACCGTCGCATAGGGAGTGCTCGCGCGTACAAAGGCGTCCTTTTAATATTATTAAATGTCTCACACACACGTGCGCTTAATATTGACACGTACATACGTATACTTAACACGCGAAGAGATTCGGCTTAAGTGATGATTCTACAAGAGCCGTTTACTTACTCCAGACGTCCGTGAGTCGAAACGACGGGATTGGGTGCTTCCTCGTTGATAAGCGCCTTGGTGATCGAGTCATTGGCCTCTTCCTGTTGATATAGAAGAAGAAGAAACGTATCTTGATTCTTCGACAAAACGGGTAACATCGATTACACGTAGGAGGACGGCGCGCTATGAGCAAAAGCTGCTGAACTACTTTAGGTACCTCCGTGAAGAACGCTTGCGTCTTCTCGAGTACATGCTGTAATTCCGTCAGCTCGAGATAGTTGCTCTTCATGTTCACCGCGTTCTGGCTCAGCTCTTGTATGTCATTCTCCGTTTTCTCGAGATGCGCCTGTTGCGAGAGAGAACGCGATTGATGTACCACAGATGCGATCGAACATGCAACGAACACGCAATTTAAGAAGGTCTCGAATGTCTAGATTGTAATAATATTCTACTACTTTTGATGTAATATCTGCGTAATATTTCCAACAATATTGTTATGATATTGCTGCAATATTACGTGCTATGTGGGGAGAAACCTGGTCTTATTTTATTTTACTTTAGCGCAGTATACGCGCTATATGTCGAAATGAGTTTCCAACGATTTTTGGAAGAAAGTTTTTACCTCGAGGTCGATGATCGCACGTGGATTGGGCGCACGTGGTAATTCCCTAAGATTGTCTGGAATCGGTACACCGTCTTTCTTGACCTCCGCCTCGATGTATCGAAGCTTGCGCTCTAGTTCATCGCATCGTCGGACCTCGTTGACGAACTTCCGTTGAAAATAATTCAGGTCGCCGTTCAGCTAGACATTACGTCAAAATTTAATGAGATTCCCGATGTATCCAGAAACGTATTCGACGTCGATTCAACAAACTAACCAAAAATTTACTCGTTCATAGTTTGTTCATTAAAACTGTGTCATCTATTCACAGAGCAACACTTCAACCTACGTTAAAGGTTTTATCACGAAAAATTTTCGTACTTTTGTAGTAGTAAAATATTTTAATTTTGTCACATACGCTTTATATAAAAGAAAGTCCTCTATTATGAGGTATAAGGTTTCTAATATCAGATAGCGAGTTTTCAACGCTCAAATTCAATCACAAATCTTTTTTCGCGACGATTACACAATCTAACAATGAATTTTCTTCTAAACAGATTTCGCTCCAAGGGCAACAGCTTTATGATAAAATCAACAGATGAGACTTATTAATTTAACAGAAATCCCGCTGTATCACAACGTAGGCTCATCTTACGTAGTAAAAGTAAAATATTTATAATACTTTCGCACAAAATTCGTAAACTTTTAAAACAATTTTTAATACAAGTTTTGTCGTTAAAGAATTAATATGGCATTCCATATAGTTTATTAATTCCATATTCTGATCATTTAACTTCAATCTGTTAAACAAAATTGTTAGATGTGAGTGATTACAGACGATGAGTTTCTCATCCCAACAAAAAACACAATTTTTAAATCACTTTAAAACTATCGGCTGACACTTTTAAATTGTTATAAGTAGCTGCAGACTAGTCGGACTAATTATGTGTATTATAATAAATAAAGTCATCGAAATAGGGATTACCCTTAAGTCAACTTACATCACGAAATTGCACCGTACCAGTTTCTCCAAGTTCGGAAACAGAAAGGTAAGCTGTCTCCGGCTGAATGAACAGCTGGCAAAGGACCATCTCCTCGCTCCTGAACATCGCCCCCATTTTCAAAGCAATTCAATCCTTACCCTGCAACGAGAGAGATAATATTTCTTACAAGTTGCAGCTTGTATCAAACATGTATAACAGAAAATAATGAAGGTATAAGAGGAACGGCCCTCTTAGGAAAGATTTCTGATAAAAAGACAAAAATTATTCTTGACATATTCAAACATATCACAACCTCATGCGGTAAGCAAATAAAACAATATTAAGACTAAATCAATAATTCCTATTCTCATCTCCCGAATTATGTAAGATTAACTTACTGTACTGGCACAAGTGTATGTGATAAAATTAAAATGTTTTAATACATAACATATAAATTAAAGATTATATATTCTCGCGTTTAGAATAAATCTGCTCTCGATGTGTTATAACGCACGCATCAACATTATTTTATTTTAAGTTTAAGAATTTTCCCCCATTTAGTATTAAAATATTCCTTTCTCAATAATAAATATGCTTGTCGCTATATCGGTCCGATTTTATGATAGATCGAAGTGTAATAGCATTAGAAAAAATCTTTTCCACGGGTGTATAGTACATGACACACATCATACGCGGAGGGAATTTTTTCTTATTTATCCTGAAAATCATGTGATCGTAGGACAACATGGCATTTGGAAGAACTTTGAGGTTTTTGAAATTTTACCATAAAAAAACTGATAAAGTTCTTCAAAATGCCGTGTTGTCCTACAATTACATAATTTTTAAGGTAAATTTTAAGAGAAACTTCTCTCCGTGTACTTTTTACGACTGAGCTATTTTACGTTGCTCATTAAATTACGATTTTCATTTAACTTTCTGAAAATTATTAAACGCGCATCTCATCGTAAGTAAATGTAAAGAGTTGCAAGTTAATTGCTTAGCGAAAATATTATTTTTCAGCCAATTAATAGAACACTCTTGGACTTTGAGTCTGTTTCAAGAGTCTCCATGCCTATCCGGGTTTTTTCTAAAAGGAGTTGACATATTAAAACGGCACTTGCCAGTGCGTGCTGGCGAGTGCCTTTAAAAAAAAGTAATAGTGGCGTAATTAATTTATTAAACTTAGAACTTTGTTATCTCTGAAATGTTTTTTCCCGTCAGTTATTTCTGAGAAAAATATAGAAAAAATTGGGAACAAAAGAGGTACATTAAGAATGTATAATAGAAGAGAGTAAATCGTGATTCTTAACTGACGAGCTATCGAGCAAACATTGATATTAGATAAGACCATTTTAGTCTTGTTAGCACGACACGCACATTGTTATCGATTAATAAATATGTCACGTAAGACGTAACAACAAAATATGAGAAATAAGAAACGAGGCCAATACAATGAGACATCGGTTTCACGTATTTTAAATGCCTGTTAATCAATATATTTACAAGATCTTAATAAAATGAGTAAAGAAGAGGTACACTCTAGATCTGCTGGATAAACAAGACAAGACTACTAAATGGCAGAGAATCCTGCTCTATGTATTTAATAGAAACTACACGTGAAAGATGGAGCGGACTGAAATCCATTGTAAAGTAGATTTCCGAGTAGATCGTTCGCAAACTTCCGCGAGTTAAGACAACGACTGCGAGAGTGAGACGAACGAAACTCAGAACGCGGCGAGGAGGGACCGACAGCACGCGGAAAGCCGTGATAAAAGACTTTCCTTGTCGACGGAGGTTACCACCAATATTTAATTTGCAAACACACTCTTCTTTTTCTCCCGTGCTCGACCTTGAAGAACCGAAGATTTTCTCACAGGAGCGCGACACGTACGCGCGTGATGCGTCTTATCTATCAGCAAACAGAAATTCTGCTACGCAAGATGCAGTGCCGGGAGACGTATTTTAAATAGTCGTCACACCTGACGCAATCTGACCGCCGAAAATTCAAGTGAAAAGTTTTGCGCCGCTATTTTCCACGTAGTAGGCGGAGACGCGAGGGTAAACAGGAGTGCCAGATAAGCGAGACGCTCCATAAATATGTACTTGAATAAAAGTGTTACACTCGCGTCGGCACACCCTCGGGTTAAATTCTCGCTCTTATCGCGGCTTGTCAACCGGATAAAAAAAAAGTGGAGCCGACGTTATATTACGCGCTTGTTCTCAAACGCGGTCCGATAATTAGCATGATACAAGCTATACGTAACGACTAGTAACGAGTTCAAGTTTAGGAAAGCCGAAGACTTAGATGACGTACCAAACGATTCGAAGAACGCCCGGCGAAAAATTTGTCGTGCATGAACATGAATAAATATATAGAATTATACAAAAATAAACATCAAATACCGGGCGTAGAATTTCCGAATATGCGATAACAAATTCCAAATATAAATATCAAACGATTCGAAAGACATAGAGTTTCCGAAAAACTCAAAAATCGAAGCTACATCAGCAGAGCTGCGTCACGCTAAAAGTCTTAGAAACGCGGCGGAAACCAATGTTTTCGCAATCATTTGTTTTTAATACCAATCAAATAAAACATTTAAAACGTTCCTAAAACATTTTTCGATGTGGGTCCATCCATTATCGTCTTTGAAGCTGTCGCTACAGCGTAAGTATAAGCTAGTTAACTTCATTAAGTGTCGAAAGATTAGTAAGCAATTTTAACTGATTTCCTTATCAGAGCATTACTGCCCGTAGCCAATTGTAAAAAGGATGTCGAAATACTGACGCGAATAATTAACTCCTGAAGGCCCGACCGCTTCAATCGACATGTTCGTTAATATGCACGTGCATATCGTTTTGAAGGTGGAAAGTAGAGGAAAGTCCTCTATTATGAGAGATAACAGGTTTTCAACACCCAAATTCAATGGCAAATCTTTTTTTGCAACGATTACGCAATCTAACAATGAATTTTCCACAGATTTCGCTCAAGGACAATAAATCCATGGTGGAATCAACAGATGATGCCCATTAAGTTAACAGAAACCCCGCTATCTCATAGTAGGAGCGTATCTCGTAACAGGGAACTTTCCTCTATATCTCTTTTATTGCAATTTAACGCCGAGACATCGGTTTGAAGATTTAGACTTTAGACTTATTTTTAGACTTATTTAGACTTACTTTAGACTTATTTTTGGCTTATTTTAGGCTTATTTAGACACTTTAGATAATTTGTTATGTAATATACCGTTTTCTTTTCTTTTTTTAAGAAAGAACAATACCAGAAGAACACTCTACGCAGGCAGCAGTCCAGCAAAATTTCTATTCAGAAGGTTGCTAAATTTAATGTTGCCTGTCGCAAGCTCCTCTCTTATTACTTGGTCGCACGAGAGTCCGTAATTGGCTAAGTGGCTTGTCTCGTTACTACACGTGCAGATGCACGTTCGTAGTGTACATCAAAAATGACTCCCCCCCCTCTCTCTCTCTCTCTCTCTCTCTCTCTCTCTCTCTCTCTCTTTCCCCTCTCATATTTCACTTCTTTAATATTTGTAAATGAATTCCAACATTGCTACAGCAATAGATAACAAGATATAAAGCAAGACGTAAACTTAATAGTTAAATATTTGTGTACGACTCTACATATCTTTTCTCATTGACACTCAAAAATTTATACACTTGCTGCATTTATGTATTAAGAAAAAAAGTACGAACAATACATTGCGCATCTTTTATAAATGTTGACAAAAATTTTTTTCTATTGATGCTGTTTAATTAAATTTTTGGTGAAAATGGCTTGACACTCAAATACCGTGATTGCAAATTAACGGCAATGCCAAATTAAAAGACGATAATTAATGTTTCAGAAATAAAAAGTCTGCTCTGTTTAATCAAATGACAAAAGTGTAGCTATAACGTTCGATGCCCTCATCATCGAATATAGCTAAGAGCGTAATCGTAGAATGTAACATTGCATGCGAAAATGCAACAAAGAGATAAAGCGGCCAATTGGTGGCGGACGGGCGTTGGTTTCCCGTGAAATTGTATGGACATCCGAGTTTTACGGCGAAAGTGGACGAGCTGAAGCATTTTAACAATGTCGCATTCGCTCTACGAAAAAGATAGGAAGGGACCCAGTGAGAAATGATTCGTCGATCGATGTCAAAACGATGTCGAATCGACATCGATACCGTCAAATTGACGTCGATTCGACATCGTTTCGACATCGATCGACGAATCATTTCTCACTGGGGAGGACCGAGCCAATTAATGAACATAAGTTCATTATAATTCGTGAATAGTTGTCTGGAAAAAATGCATAGCAGAGTGAAAGCATAAAAAGCTATAGTAGATAAAAGAAAGGAGGAGCATAACCACTTGTGGCTGCTGATTAGGTTGTAAAGTAATAAACTCGGGACAACAAATTCTTCATGTACGTGCCGTTGTGACCACTAACTAACGTGAGATTACGGTTCGCGAGATATCATATCCGACAAAAGTTATTCATAAAAAAAAGAGCGCATGTCGCGATTGAGCGATACGATAACAATAAGAGAAGACAACAAACAACTACCAAGAATAATGTAATGGGTAGTGCCTCGCGACGTGGTGTAGAACAAACTAAAGCTCCCATACAGCACGCATGTGTAAAAGGCATTTTTAAGACGTCTCTAAGTCGTCTTTTAGACGTACACAGCGACATTGGCGCCCTGAGCGAGATTATCGTGGCGTCCATTCGAATTCAAGGGCTCAAAATTCTTGAGGGGGAAAAGACGAGGCGATGACATCGAACGACGAACCCCATTTTGTTTTTATATTTTAGGGAATCTCTCTCGCTCTCAAACTAGGTGAAATCAGGCAACGGCGCCCCTACAGACTTGGCGCCCCTGGGCGATCGCCCGACCGCGTTCCACCCTAACGCCGGTACTGGACATACATATCTAAAAGATAACTTAAAGGCATTTAAAAAACGCCTTTTAGACATGCGTGCTGTATGGGCTCCCTAGTACACGTGTAATCCGTGTATTTAACTTATCCGTGTCTTAACCCGTGTACACGAATTTAAAGAATCTTCATTTACGCGAATCCGCGAACACGTGAATGAAGGTACCTTAAATCCGTGTACACGGATTACGTGTGTACACGTAAATCTTAAAACACGT